GTGCTGTATATAGTAGTCTATGCGATCTTTTTCATTGTAGGTTGCGACAAAGTGTGAGTGTTTGGTATAGACTAGGGGAGGTACATAGCGATCTAGCTTGTGCATACATTGCGATTCCGGACTGGGTGTATGTATTGCGGAGATGCTCACAAGCCAACCCTGTTATGTTTCGAATAGGGCGCTTTCTATTTTTATATAAAAGGATACACTTGATAATCGAGACCTTGTTTGCATATGTATTTCAACATAGCCTTCGAAATTGAACATTCAAGGGCCAAATTTACTTACTGAAGGGTTAGATTAAAAATCGGGACAGATAAATCCGTTTTGTTCATGGTCAAATTCACAAGGGTGCAGTGTAGCGCTGTTTTGCTACTTACACCAACATCCGTGGGATATGAATAGGACACGGTGCCGGCACATCTCTGCAAAATGCTCGGTACTGCATGCGTGCGTCCACAATCTATAAATAGAATCGTACACCTCTGCTAATCTGATTGGCCATGATTTACCCTCTGCAGTTCCCGGGGGATGTGCTGAGGCACTTTCGATTGATCTCACAACCTAAACGATTGTACAAGCCCATAATGTACTTCAACGGATTCTGGCTCGGTGAGGTAGGTATGTGCTGTGTGTAGAGTTAAGGTTTCCGTATTATCATGTGTATGGGTATGAGTATGTGGCCTATGTGCTGCACGTGGTGTTATATGGTTTGAGGTTTTAATATGTTTGTGCACCATGTGTGAGAGTACGTGTTTGTGGTCTTATATATTGGATCGTGTGTGAAACTCAATTGGTTGATATTTTCGGATGCCCTTTGCACAATTTGGCACTGAGGAACGCACTCGGCTATACCGGCACTATTAGTTCGGCCAGGTGACTAATATAGGCACGATTTTCTGGTACTTTTTTAACAAACACTCTTCCCGAATTTCTGCTGAAAGTAATATATTTTACTTTCCTATACGTATTTACTGCAGAGCAAGTTCTTTCCCCTGCGAAATACTACTCAGTCCAATCTGGAAATCGTGCTGGAGCCCATATCTCTGGGAAAGTTTAGGCTGACAAATTCGGTACAGTTATTTTTTCCTTCGTATCTAATCCAATTGCTCTGACATTTTATGGAATTGTGTCCCGATTTTAGTAAATCGGAGTGGTGAGCAAAATGTTCTTAGAAGTATTGGGTTTGCACACTCTGTATGCCTTACTATGAACTAAGACAATCTACTGCTCATGCAGAGTACTTATCAGCGATGTCCTATCAACTCACAAGAATCATAAGAGTATATGAAGTACCCTCTAGGCCACATCTTGAGCGGGTATAGCGCTTGAGATCACATGGATATTGTGTATATATGCTTCTGCCACATGTTAACTTTGTACAGTCGTATTAGACACAGTTTGGTACACAGTCGTAGACAAGTACAACTAGTACTTGACTTAAATACACGCGTGTCGCCTTCCGAGTTGACGCTGCACGGGTTGATAGGGCCGGTATCATGTTGGATATCCAAATACAACGACACTCGTTACAACATCAAAGCATGAGACTGCTTTATTTATGCCCATGACCGTTCCCATGTATTCATGTTCATGTATATTTATATGTAAATGTATATGTATATGTATATGTATTTGTATATACATACATGC